TAAATTCACAGATTTTTCTCTTTCTTTTGATAAAGTTCAAGGTTTACAGAGGTCTTCCCTGCTGGCTCAGTGGTAAAGAATCTGCCTGCAATGCAGGAGATGTGGGTTCAATCCCTGGGTCAGGAAGATCCCCTGGAGGAGAAAATGGCACTCCAGTATTCTTGCCTGGAAAATCCTTTGGACAGAGGATCCTGTCAGGCTACAGTCCATGGGGCAACAAAGAATCAGACACGACTGAGCACTCATGCAAGGTTCACAGAAGAATTGAGCATACAGTACCAAGACTTTCCATATATCATTCCTATCCCAATATACACTCAGTTTCCCCTATTCTTATCATATATTATTAATATATGGTATATTTGTACTGGATATATGATTGGATATATGGACTGGACAACCCAGTCCAGTATTCTTGCCTGGAGAATTCCATGGACAGAGGAGCCTGGCAGGCTACAGCCCATGAGGTCAAAAGAGTCAGACACAACTCAGTTTCAGGAGTAGTGGTCAGGTATTTTACAGAATGAATGTCCTTCAATTTGGGTTTGCCTGCTGTTTTTCTCATAGGTAAACATGGGTTATGAGTGTTTGGGAGGAAGACCTTGGGAATAAAGTACCATTCTCATCACATTATACATACAAGGGTACATACTAACATGACTAATCCTAATGATGTTAACCATGATCACCTGGCTGAGGCAGGTTTCTCCACTACCAAGTAACTCTTCACTTCCCTCCTTTCCACATTGAATTCTTGGTAAGGAAGTCATAACTATATTCAGGAGTTAAGCAGTTAGGCCCTCTAAAACTTTTTCATTTATGTTTTTAAAATAATTCTCTCCAAAGGCCTATACATATGAAAAAACTAAGTCTTAGAGAATTTGTTAAGGCTATAGAGCTAAAAAGTGCTAGTATTAGAAACTGAACCAAAGCTGTATGAATCCCAGCTTCATGCTCTTTTCATTGTAACACACTCAACCTCAAGGGCACAAATTATATACTAATGAGTAAATTTCAAGCTCTACATTATCCAACCTCTAGTCTTTGCTCCTGAACTTCCATTTAATTCATCAGGTTCCTGTTCCTTTGGCAGTGCTTACCCTTTCTTATTAATTCAACCAACTTCCACTCCAAAGCTATGCTGTTTTCCTCAGTTTTCTTTGCCCTAGAGAAGCAAAATTATTCTTTAAACTAGGTTCCAGAAATGTCTTTCCACATCTCTGAACTTGCCCTATAGAAACTGCCTGAACTACCTTCTCTAGTAACTTGGTGTAATTAATGAAAAAAGGTACTGGACACTAGTTTCATTTAAAAAAAAAAAAAAAAGGAAGATTGTATTATACAGTGGTTCAGAGATTAGACTCTGGAGTCACAAAGTCCTGAGATCAAATTCCAGTTCTATCAGCATTTCTTTGACTTGGAAAAGTCACTTCACCTTCTTAGACATCATTATCCTCCTTTGTCATCCTAGAAACTAATCTTAAAGCATTCTGTATATAAAAGAGGTATCTATGCAGTTTTCTATGCAGTATCTGCAAAATGAAAGCTCCATGATTTATAGACTAGCCTACACGATTTTTTTTAAAAAAGCTTAAAGATGAACTTGGAATTTATAAAGTTCAGACTAACTTGTACCTTTGGTAACAGAATAGTAGGGCATCTAGTAAATGGACAAAAGTAACTACTCTGAATTGTGCACTGACTTCAATAAAATACACAGTTGTTTGTTTTCCTGAAAATGGGATATATTTTGGACAATTCCTCTATGAGACACGTATCAGAAAAAATTTCCCCCAAAAGTCAAGGATATACTAGGTTCATTATATTCTTGTACTTGCCAATACTGTTCATAAAGGACTTGCCGAAAATCCCTGTCAGAGGCCTAGCCCCGCTTTTTCCAGAATCAGTAACAGTTCTTCATAAAGTGAAGTAGCCCAACTATTCAAAGGTAATTAATCTATTGTAGCACTCCAGACAAAAAGCAAAAGAGAAGCAGAGAGGAAATTTCAACTGGAAAATATTTTGACGTAATTGACCCAGATGACAAACTAAACTTAAGCATATGTCAAGTGCTACAGTCTGTACAAAAACACATACAGATGCCAAAGGATATTAAAAGCCCACACAAGCCAAGCTGAAGACTTAACTCTGAGCAGAATATAAATCTTGTAATCACTGTTTAGAAAAGATGCACAGGGGGAGCTAAAGGGTTCTTTCATAAACTAAGAGAAAGAAACATTTAAAGTTTTAAAACTCTTTATCTTGGAAATTAAAGGTAATCATCATTGCAAAAAGTGTTAGGGAATTTATTCTTTCCAATATATCCAAAACACTTAGGTCTCCCAATACTGGTATCTATTTTTTTCTGATCACTTTCAAAACTTTTAAGATTTATTACTGCAATAAGTTCAAATTTAATTATAATATTTAAATCCCATAGAAAACAAATGTCTATGTTGAAAATGAGACAACTTTTTCACAGGAAAATAAAACTTGCAAGAATACAACATGAATCCCTAACTTCTTTAGCTTGATTTCCTCATACATAAACTATATGATACAGCTACTTTGTGTGTGCTGTCGCTTCAGTTGTGTTCAACTCTGTGCGACCCTGTGGAGTGTAGCCCGCCAGGCACCTCTGTCCATGGGGATTCTCCAATCAAGAGCACTGGATTGGGCTGCCCTGTCCTCCTTCAGGGGATCTTCCCTACCCAAGGATCGAATCCGCATCTCATATGTCTCCTGCATTATGAGGCAGGTTCTTTACCACTAGCGCCACCTGGGAAACCCATAGCTACTTTAACTCTTCTCATAAATTAATCAGACCAAAATGAAAGAACCAATGAAAATGCATAGAAAAGCAAATTATTTTTGTGTTAATTTTTTCTTTTTTAATTTTTAAACAGACAGTAAAATCTGAAAGAACAGTATTGTTCATTAACTATATCCTCCACCCAGATTTAAAAATTGATTAATATCGTCAAAGTACACAAAATTGTATAATGAATAAAAGCCCACATGAAATAAACATTAATAAGTAGGATATGTAACCTTTCCTAAGAAAATACAAACTCAACTTATGAAGAAAATTTCTTAACATTATGTATCTTTTGTGTATGTGACCTAAAAGAATTAAATACTTAATGAAAGGCATTTATAAGTTAACACATGGTTATTTTATATGAACAGTGTCCAAGACAAACCTTATAAAAAATCTTTTTACTATTTTTTCACCATGAAAAAAGATCAAAGTGAAACTATAAAGTTATGAAAGGTTTCAAAGCCAAAAACTGTAATAAATATATTTCTAAGTAATCCTAGGGTAGGCCAGAAAGCAGTCCTGGTAGCAACTGTTATCTTCAATCACAAAAGAGTGAGATACTAATTTGTAAGGAAATATACATGCTTTTTCTTCCTTGATATTCAAGTCTAAATAACTGTGAGCTAAGTCCTCATTAAATAAGTTTCAGGTATCCAGTACTCAGGAAAAATTCAAAGATTATGACTATACAGTTGTGGAAGGTAGGCATAGAGAAATGAAGATGACAGGAAAAAAAAAAGGAGGAAATGCCAGTAAAATGGCCATGTTCATTACCACAAGATAAGAGAAGAAGGACCAAAGAGAAATCAAGATATCTCTGGAAATTTCAAAATCACTCATTACTCCAACATTTAAAACTGCAACCCTTAAAACTACAGTTGTGAGTCAGCGTAACTAATCATAGTGCAAATGGTCTCCTCCCTAAATCCATATCCAATATCTTCCACAAGATTAAAAAAAAAAAAAAAAAAGGCAAACACTAGTGACTGTGATGATAATGATTCTCAAAAGGAAAATAACCTAAATACATCTAAATAACATTCCACAGAAAGTACAGCTGATCCTTGAAAAATGAGGGGGTGAGGGCTCTGGTCCTCCATGCAATCTAAGTATAACTTAGTATAACTCCATATACACAGTCCCCCCATATCTGCCAATTCAATGCACTGTAGAAAATGTAATATCATAGTAATTAGTATTAAAAAAAAAAAAACCTGTGTATAAATGGAACCACACAGTTCAAATTTAGGTTGTTCAAGAATCAACAGTAAAGCATTAATAAAAGACTGACCTTCTAAAATGTTTATACTAAAATAATTGTGACAACTGCCAATGATTTCAATGTTTTAAGACAGAAAACATTTTATTATGAAAAAAACTCCCTGACAACATCAAAATAAATTATCATGTGCCTTTTTTCTAAATGACTTTGATGGTTAACATATTTAAATAGGTACTTCTGTGATAATGTCTATAGAGATTAATTTAAGGCTATATATATATATATATACGTGTGTGTGTGCGTGTGTGTACACATACCTTAGAGGAGAGCACGGCAACCCACTCCAGCATTCTTGACTGGGAAATCCCATGGACAGAGAAGCATGGCAGGCTAGAGTCCACAGGGTTGCACAGTCAGACATGGCTGAAGCAACTTGGCATGCAGTGAACAAACAATACTTGTGTGTGTATGTTTCAGAAGATAAAAAATGTATATATACCCTGTGACTAGAAAAATATTTTTTAAAAATTTATTTTTTCCATATAAAGTATCTGAGTTCTTTTAAAATATTATGTTTATAAATGTTAAATTTATTAAATTCATAATTAAATTCATATTTAAGTCATGGTTAAGCAAAAGTAAAAAAAGAAAAGTAGAAAAAAGAAAAGTAGAAAAAAAAAAGAAAACTGGTTTCTATTACATATGGGTGAGGGTAAGAAATATTGAAAATAAAGAAACTAAACCATGATTTGCTGATTATAGGCACTAATTTATTTATCTCTCATCTCCCTATATTACACTGCCATTAACCGCAAAAAAAAAAAAAAAATTAAACTACTCCTTAAGATGGCTTTTCATTCTCTCCTAAGGGTAGGAATCAGAGGATAGGTAGGGGGTGGGACAGAGGGGGCGGGCTGCTGGAAGAGAGAGTAACAATTTAATAAACTTAAATCCTACCTTTATAGCCAGGAAATTCAGTCCACTCTCATTGGCCAAAGCCTTTGCGATCATTGTTTTAGAGCATCCAGGTGGCCCATATAAAAGAACTCCTTTGGGTGGCTGAATACCCATTTGGGTGAAAGACTCAGGATGTTTCAAGGGCCATTCCACAGCCTGTTTCAGTTTCAGCTTGACATTTTCCAGTCCTCCTATATCTGACCAGGATACCTGGAAAACAAACAAAAAATTTAAAACATATGTATACAAGAAAGGAAACAGAACTATTTAAAAATCAACAGTTTCCTTAAAAAATTCTCAACAAGATTAAAAACTGGGAGTTTATAAAATGTGAGCTGCACATTATAGAAATACTAAAGAAAACCAAAATGTTACTGCTTGCAAGTCTTACTTGTATAAGTAACTGTTTAAACAATTGAATATACTGTTAAGTCTATATTCTAGTCTACATGCCTTTAAAAACTAGCTTTCATCTGTTTGAAAATAGTTTGAATCAGTGATTCAAGGTCAAATCTACATATCTAATTTCTTATATTTCTTTTCTTGAAAGCAAAAAATATTTTATTGAAAGCAAAATTACTTTCAAATGCACTTCTGTAGGTCCTTATGGAACATATAATCTTTACTGCCTTTGGTATATTAATAAGAATTCTCAAAATTTTGTTCTTCCCAAAATGTTCCCCAAACAAGAGAGCTCTTTACATTTATTTACTTAATAAATATGCGTTACATACCATATAAAGTACACAGGAAACAGATGAGACATAAATCCAGACCCTAAAGAACTTAACAAATATCAGTAACACACATGTAAATAACCATAGTACAACGGGAAGTATACTAACCACAATGACAAAGAAACAGAAAAATCCTTTGGGAGTTCCCAGGAAGAAAAGATTACTCCCAGCTGGAAGGTAAATCTGAAAGCCAACTCTTGAAGCATGGATGAGATCCAGAAATATGAAAATAGGGAAATGGTTAGGTAGAAGCTAAAAAATTATGAAAGGCTCAGAAGGAAACATGAAGAACATGAGAGAAAAAAAAGACTTGAGAGGGAAGTCAGAAAAGAAAGTTCTTTTTTCTAAAAAAAGAAAAGCAAGTTTAAGCCATCTAGTGGAGAACCTTGAAGACTAGATGGAGATCAAGAATCTCTTTATTCATAAGAAGTCTTTGAAGGTTTTTAATAGAGAAAGCAATATGCTCTGATCTGTGCTTCAAAAAGACTTCTCTGACAAGATTCATTGAAGAGGAGAGTGTCTTCAGATAGAACAATTAAGGATCTATCACAAATATTCTTTAAAAAAAAAAAAGTAAAGTGACAATCAAAGTCGCTCAGGCCTGTAAAATTCTTTTGCATGGACTCTACAGTCCATGGAATTCTCCAGGCCAGAATACTGGAGTGGGTTGCCTTTGCCTTCTCCAGGGGATCTTCCCAACCCAGGGATCAAAACCAGGTTTCCCGCACTGCAGAGCCACCAGGAAAGTCCAAGAATACTGGAGTATTCTTGAACTACTGCATGACTGAACAAGAAAAACAATCTTAATGCCAGTTTGCTATTTCAACCAGTTCATCCATTTTAATCGCATGAGGAAGGAATATGTGCGTATTTCCCTAAAGCATCATCAGCCTTGGGTTTTATTTTGTTTTTGTTTTTCCTAACTGATTTCTGATTTCACCAATTAATAAAATTAAAATTAAACCTAAGATTAGTGCACATGATCTTACTACCTTAAAAACATGTAGCTATCATCAGTAGGATCCAAGTGACTGTTTATCACAGACAGCAACTATTATTTGTGTAGCCAAAGCCTGCTGTAGGCAGGAATACAGCAGAGCTGTCATACCCTGATGGGTGGCTGTTGACGGTAGTCAGCAACTATCAAAAAATTTACAGATCAGAAAGTAGAGATAATTAAGAAGAAATAGTCAGTAGATCTGGCAATGAGGTTATTGGATAGTTGCTTAACTAAATCAATAGTTTTTATTTTTATTCCTTTCAGCAGTGGTATATATATGTGCACACAGCACACACATACATGCATACACACATGCAAACATGCATATAGAGAGGGAGGGTATTATGTTATCGAATGGATAAAAGCTGTGTTTAAAACTATCATAAACACATAAGTCAGAGAAGCAACTTTTAGGACTTCAAATGATATGATGTTGCATGATACCCATTCAGTTGTTACTATGCAATTATCGTACCTATGCAATGAGAACAGCACATTCTGTTGGAGAACATGCTCCATGAGGAGCAGCTATTCCATGCCTTGAAGCATACTTGAGTTATACCTTGAATACTACAGAAGAATATTTGAAAAAATGAAAGTGTTATTCACTCAGTCATCTTCAGCTCTTTGCAACCCCATGGACTGTAGCCTGCCAAGTTCTTCTGTCCATGGAATTTTCCAGGCAAGAATACTGGAGTGGGTAGCCATTCCCTTCTCCAGGGGATCTTTCTGATCCAGGGATGGAACCCAAGTCTCCTGCATTGCAGGCAGATTCTTTACTGTCTGAGCCACCATGAAAGCCTGTAGCAGAATGCTTCCTCCTTNTCTGTCCATGGAATTTTCCAGGCAAGAATACTGGAGTGGGTAGCCATTCCCTTCTCCAGGGGATCTTTCTGATCCAGGGATGGAACCCAAGTCTCCTGCATTGCAGGCAGATTCTTTACTGTCTGAGCCACCATGAAAGCCTGTAGCAGAATGCTTCCTCCTTAGAAGAATAGATTTGACAAACCTAGACAGTGTATTAAAAAACAGAGACATCACTTTGCCAACAAAAGTCCATATATTCAAAGCTATGGTTTTTCCAGTATTCATGTATGGATGTGAAAGTTGGACCATAAAGAAGGCTGAGCACCAAATAATTGACACTTTAGAACTGTGGTGCTGGAGAAGACTCTTGAGAGTCCCTTGGAGAGCTAGATCAAACCACTCAATCCTAAAGGAAATCAACCTTGAGTATTCATTGGTAGAACCTGTGCTGAAGCTGAACTTCCAACACTTTGGCTATGTGATGCAAAGAACCAACTCATTGGAAAAGACCCTGATGCTGGGAAAGATTGAGGGCAAGAGGAGAAGGGGGCGACAGAGGATGAGATAACCATTAGTGACTCAATGGACATGAGTTTGAGCAAACTCAGGGAGACGGTGAAGGATAGGGAAGCTTGGTGTGCTGCAGATCATGGGGTCGCAAAGAGTCAGACACAACTTAGCAACTGAATAACAAAAATTTACATAAGCACACACATACAGATAGAATTTTCTTAAAAGTTAGTACAGAACTGACACTGAAGACGAGGAGCTAAGATGGTGGAAGAATAGGACGGGGAGACCACTTTTTCCCCTACAAATTCATCGAAAGAACATTTGAACGCTGAGCAACTGCACAAAACAACTTCTGATCGCTAGCAGAGGACATCAGGTGCCCAGAAAAGCAGCCCATTGTCTTCGAAAGGAGAGAGAAGAAATCCCGATCCACACACCAGAACACCGACGCAAGTTTCCCTAACCAAGAAACCTTGACAAGCCGATCCTTCAACCCCACCCACTGGGAGAAACCTCCACAATAAAAAGGAACCACAGACCACCAGAACACAGAAAGGCGACTCCAGACACAGCAATCTAAACAAGATGAAAAGGCAGAGAAATACCCAACAGGTAAAGGAACATGAAAAATGCCCACCAAGCCAAACAAAAGAGGAGGAGATAGGGAATCTACCTGAAAAAGAATTTAGAATAATGATAATAAAAATGACCCAAAATCTTGAAAACAAAATGGAGTTACAGATAAATAGCTGGTAGACAAGGATTGAGAAGATGCAAGAAATGTTTAACATTTCTTTAACATTAGAAGAAATAAAAAAGAGTCAATTAAAAATGATAATGCAATAAATGAGATCAAAAACACTCTGGAGGGAAACAACAGTAGAATAACAGAGGCAGAAGATAGGATAAGTGAGGTAGAAGATAAAATGGTGGAAATAAATGAAGCAGAGAGGAAAAAAGAAAAAAGAAAAGAAATGAGGACAACCTCAGGGACCTCTGGGACAATGTGAAATGCCCCAACATTCGAATCATAGGAGTCCCAGAAGAAGAAGACTAAAAGAAAGGCCATGAGAAGTTACTCGAGGAGATAATAGCTGAAAACTTCCCTAAAATGGGGAAGGAA